ATATTGAAGCATAATAATTCTCTTTTCATCTAAATGAAGATTATACTTTTGAGATAAAAAATGCTATAAAGTGGTTCTTATTCAATGTTTAATCACAAACTAGAATAAAGTCAAATCCAAAAAAAAATGTTATCTACAAAGTAAAGCATTAATCATTACGTGTTCTGAAAACATGTACCAGCATTACCTGTTATACATGGAACAGAGGAAGGTGCTTGGAGTTTTAATCACAAAGAACTGTAGACAACAAACGTGTGTCACGTGGATGAGCGAGAGCAGCTGGATGATGTAAAGAACATGAAGAGCAAGAAAACAACWAAAWCATGCAGGATGGAGGCTCTCGAGGACCAGGTTCTAGTACCGCTGCTTTAAACAGTCCGTCCGTCAGTCCGTCCATCATCTGCAGCCTGAGGTGTTTCCAGGCCTGCTGAAAGGAATARTCCAGTGTGTCCTAGGTCTCCCTTGGGGTGTCTTTCCATGTCAATATACCAGAACCACCTCTCTAGAGAGGTTTTCAGGGCCATCCTTACCAGAACCTCCTCAYCTATCTCCTCTGGATGTGGAAGAGCAACAACACTACTCTGAGTATCTCACAAATAACTGAACTTCTAATCTAATCTGAACTTATAAAGCTTTTTATCAAGTCCAAGGACTCTACAGAGCTTCACACTACAGTCAGTCACACACACATTCAGACACTGATGGTGTGGTAAGCTACACTGTAGCCACAGCTGCCCTGYGACAGAGTGACAGAGGCAAAGCTGCCATGCACCAGCGCCACCAGGTCCTCTGACCATCCCGAGCAGGCAAGGCGGTGATGTGTCTTGCACAAAGACACAATGGCTGAGGTGGAGGGGGTGGGGGTTTTGAACCATCAGCCCACCGATTACAGGAAAAAAAACCCTACCTGCCACAAGGCTCATTGCTTTGTTACCATGCAGAAAAATCTAATTTCGACCACCGGTTTTTGCAATCTTGTTCGATTTACTACCCAGAGCAGTTTGACCAATAAAAACAGAGCTTTCCTTTGCAGCTCAGCTCCCTCACCCCAGCGGATTTGCACAAAGCATGCAATAATTTAGAATCCACATTGATCCATATATCTATGTCACACACAATTTTTCTCTCAATTGTAAACAAAACCCAGAGATATTTAAAGTCCTCCACTTGAGGATGTGCCTCACTCCCAAGAYAGAAGTGTACCCTTTTGAGCTACTTCTCATCTCAATTACGACATCGACAGCACCACATCGTCTGCAAACAGCAGAGACGAAATCCTGAAYCCACCGAACCAGACCAATTCCACCCTGTGGCTACACCAAGAAAGTCTCTCTATAAAACCTATGAACAGAATTATAACAACCAGCAGCCCTACCAGAGTTCAGCTACCACCTTGAACTTATACTTACTGCCGGCAACGCAAACCAGACTCTCTTTCTAAATATATCCAATGTTTTTGTAAATCCTGTTACTGCTTTTCACAAAAAAACTCTCTCGCATCAAAGACGAGAAGTATGAAATTTTTAATCAATCATATTGATTCTTTCTGATCATATCCTACTGAGGTGTGGAACAAAATCTGTACTGACCTAAATTTTAACGCTACAAGTAAAAAATATTTCAATCAACAAATGCTTTGGAGCCAAATAGCAGCTGTCAGTATTTGGCGTTGGACTTGTACTTTGTCTGCTTTGCGTCTTGTGTTGGGACAAGAAGAGTAAACAAATGCAAGCATATTCTATTTGAGAAACCCCAAAGATTTTTCAACAAATAGCAGATATAGGTGCATTTCAAACTTAGCTTAAATACTCATATTCAAAGTGGCAGGTTGTTTGCTGTCCACTGCAGTCAAGAGTTTTCAGACCTTTTTGTAGACAAAACAAAACATCTGAGACAAGACTGAAAGAAACCAGCTTCTTTAAATGAGAAAKCCACATAATAAAAACAAGGGGGCGGCCTCAGGTTTCACCATTCAAACACCTACACTGCAGCATCAGCTTTTCTCCCCTGGCAGTTTCACAACCATTCACACCTTGAGAAATGTGACTAAAACACTTCCCATGCTAGTCATGTTGGTAAACAGCTCACAAGTGACAATGACCTAACTCCATGGTTCCTCAAACTGCAGTACAAGTATCAGTGGTGGTACTCAGGATCCCTCTAGTGGTACTTAGAAGGAAATCTGGCATAACTGTTCACAAGGTAAATTAAGAATAAGTTCATTACCCATCATAAGCAGAAGAGGAATATAAATCTACAAGCAAACATTGACAAAAAGAGAAGTTTAAGCAAAACGACAATCTTAGCTCCAAACGGAAATCATTCAAAATATAAAATAAAGTGTAATAGAGACCATTAAAAATGTATGGTTTATCAATGTGCTAGTAACTTTTAAGCAATAGTGCAGTTTCAGCTAGCAACAAGTGGTCCAAACGTCAATCCTGAATTTGTATGGAATCATCACATTGTAAACTGAATCATTCAACCAGGGAACATAATCTTGTATGCTCGTTGAACAGTTTTTATGATCAACCTCAATAGATAGAAACAGTAGTTTCAAGTCCTTGTGACTCACATACATGTTTTTATGCTTTGAAAAGGAAAAAAATGTATTTAATAGTCTATAAACTCAGAAGGTATTTCAAGAATTATATACTTTTAATGCATTTAATCCCTGTAGTTTACACTTACTAAATTATAACATCCATCCATCCGTCCGTCCGTCCGTCCGTCCGTCCGTCCGTCCGTCCGTCCGTCCGTCC